AAAGCTAACTTGTAGAGGCTTTCTCGAGCAAAGCATCAGAAACAAATGCTATGCCACAGAAGGAGCCATCAGGATCTCCTGGGGCAAGTGAGGTGAGCAGGGTTGTTGTTCTGGGAACTCATTACCCAAACACAAGTGTGGTCCCCAGAATAGGTCCTCTATTTTGATTTTTAGTACAAATTCATAATTTACTTTGGTATTTAGTAAAAACTAAAACATAACAAATCCGGTCTTCCTTGGCTCCCAGGGAATTTCACTCTCATCTTCTAGTCATTCCAGTACTTTCTTCTCTGTCTTTCTCACCTGCCCCACTTTCTCTGCCAACCAGAAGTGATTAGATGTTTCCTGAATTTGGTTTTGACCCAGTTCTCTTCTCTTGAAAATCTCTCTTGATAATCTTACCCACATCTAAGCCTTTGATAAGGGAAAAAAATCTTATATAAGAATGTGTGTGAAATCGGAAAAAAATAGATGAACAGATGAAACATTATCCATCTGATAAGAACTTAACCCTTTTTGCCTTTTTGTGGCACAGACCACTTTGGCAGTCTAATGAAGTCTGTGACCTCTCCCTTGAATAATGGTTTTAAACTAAAATACATAGGATTGCAAAGGAAACCAATAATGTTGAAATAAAGTTATAAAAATATTTTTAAAAACAAATTTGTGGTATAGTAATGTATATTCAGCACTATTTTTTCATGAAATTACAAGATCTGACGACGACCCTAATTTCAAAGTACTGATAAATACTTGGAGACGTCAGCAATACTGTACCACGGTAGGACAATGCTTAATGGTGAGAGAACCACAGGTTCTTCTAATATCCTGTGATTTTTTTTTTTTGCCTATGCTCATAACTGAAGGGAATGTTAAATTTCAGTTAGAGATGAAGAAAAATATAGATCAAACCTATAGATACCCCTGAATTCTATCCATGGGTCCAGGGTTAAGAACATGTGGTCTAAAGATTTCTATGAGGTTGGGGATCCTTATCTGTGTGCCTATCAGAAGCCACAGGCGACGGTTTGGAACCATCTACAATTGTACAATGCAATTGCTCTCCATCTCGTTTGCTACGTCCAACTTAACTGGGGTTCATGGATCTCCTCTTGTCTTTCTCAGCATATTTTTTATATTGAAGTAAAATTGAAACTAGTCGTTCCTGTTCGTTAGCAGCTGTTTTCCTTTTGGTTTTGTTTGTTTGGGGAGATTCTTTTTTGTTTGGTTTTTAAATGTATTCATTATTCACAGGAGACACTAAAATCGCTCATGATCTGGGGTCATTTTTCCATGCTATGTCAACCTTCTATTAACACAGATAATTGGACTTTCAATGAGAATAGAATGAAAACATCCAACTTCATCCTCTGTCTATTGCCTTCAATGGTTTTGAAGCAAGTTAAAAAAAAAAAAAACAAAAAAAAAACAGGGCCTGCCGAGTGGCGTGTTGGTTAAGAGCTGGCTTGGGATGCCAGAGGGCCTCGGTTCGGATCCCATATGTGAGGGCCAGTAACACTGCCCTCCACAGCTAAGATGCTGAACAACAGCTCAACCTGGAGCTGGGCTGCTGTGGGTCGCCGGCGACGGCGTAGGCTGCAGCCCCTGCGGCAGTGGGTTGCCATAAGCTACCATGTGTAGCCAGCAGCCAGCGTGAGCGGCCATCCAGAAGCCGGCGACTGATGTGCCTCACCCGGGAAGAGCGCAATGATAGTGCCAACTTGGGCCAGTGAAGCAAAGTCCTCCACAGCTAGACTGAAGAACAAAAGGACAGCAACTTGTCTGTTCCCCTTCCCTGGATTCCCCAGCGCTGTTCCCATCCCCCAATTCCCCAATAAAATCTTTAAAAAAAAAAACCTCTCGCCACCCTTTTGACCTCCTCTCCCTTTGGCACTCACACCTGCGTTCTCCTGGACCTCTCTTACCTATCCGCTTCCCTCATGGTGCCTTCTGAATCTCATCTGTTCCACACTCTGTCAACCAGAAAAATATAGGCATTCCCCCCACATTAGGCTTTGGGCTAGTTTTTCATCATTTGTTTCCCCTGATCATCTCTCTCAATCCTCAGTCTACTTCTTTTGCCACGTTCCTTGTCAGTTTTCATGGACTCCACACCCTCCATCTTCCCAGTTGTTCGGATTTTAATGAAACTCAGCAGATAGTCTTTGGATACTGACTGTGCCCTAAACAATATGTTAGGCACAGGGGCTACAATACTGAACCAACAGAACCAAGGTCCCCGCCTTGATACATCCTAGAATCTGTCAAGGAAAGTCAGCCTTGAACAAGTAATTTCAAGAGTAATGAGTAAGATGATAGGGGAGTAACAGGTCACAGTGGGAGTTGATAATAAGAGAGATCTAGCATACTTTGAGGTCATCAGGAAGTTTATGAGAAGTGATATTTAAATTAGGGCTTTGAAAGTTAATTCAGAGAGAGCTCCCTGAGTAGTGTAGGAATGGGGATTGGGAAGATTCACATGAAATGCCGACGTCTAGAGAGAATAGCAGGGAAGAAAAAAAAGATGTCTGCTGCGGCTTTGATGTAAAACTCACAGAGTGCATTTGAGTCTAGTGAGGGTGAAGAGGCAGAGCCAGCCAGACGGGAAACGCTTGTCAGTCATATTGGGGCGTAGGAGGGAGCATCACCCCAAGGAGAGTGGGGAATCCCATTAGATGTTTTAATCAGGCTGCAGAATGCTCTGGTTTACCTTTGTAAGTGATTAACACAGCTGTCATGTGGAGAATGGTTTGCAGAGGCCAACATCCATGTAAGGAGACCATTGGAGGTGGTTATAGGGGACCTGTTAAAAGAGAAGGTATGAAGGTCGGCCGAGTGGCTCAGTTGGTTAAGAGCTCACGTGAGAGTGCGAACTCTGAGCAACAGCAGCGCCAGTTCAATTCCCAGCCCAAGCTGAGCTGCCACTGAGCTGCCAACAGGTGGCAGGATGGCTCAGCTAAAAAGAAAAAAAGAGAAGATATGGCGGTCTTGCAAGAAAGTCTCAGCCATCATTGACTTGTATCTGTTTCTACTTTACCTGTTCCTCGTACCCATCAGACACTAAATCTTTTAAGATTTGCTTTCTAAAATCTCCATGACATACACGCTTCTTTTTGTTCCTATTGACCTAATGCACACTTCCCATTTTTCTTTCTTGAGCTGTTGCAACAGCCTCTGCTCTCTACTGACTTGCCATCTCCTAGTGTCCCATTTCTCCCTTCCAGGAGCAAACAGTTGTGCTGTCAGAGTTAGCCCCTAAAATGTACTTGGTTGCTCTCAAGGGCATCAAAATTTAGTCCAGACTCCGCTTACTGGTTCACAACCACTGCAGTTCGTTCCCTACGGATGCTGCCAGTCTTCTCAGCCATTGCAAGTTCCTTCCATAACTCGCCTACCCCACCCTCCCCTGGACTCACCCACTCAAAAGTATCTAAAAGCACTATATTTTGCATGGTGCATTTCTCTTCCAACTCACCCATAAAAATGATATCTCAAGACTCATATCTCCCACTTCCTCCAATTCTAGGTGCCCCCAACCAGAATTAATTTTTCCTTCCTGTCCATGCTCCAGTGTTATCCGATGACGCATTATCCATCTAACTGAACGTCTTGCTCTTGTTTCACCATTTTTTAGAGTCTACCTCCTATTTGAATCATTATGTATGAGACAGGCTCTTTCACTAGATTATAAATTCCAGGGGACCAGAGAGATACCTCTTAGTCATTTCTGTGTCACATAATGAGTTGCCTGTTCTGTGCTTATAAGGGCCTGACAAACATTAAATTTGATTGTTGGTGATGGGGGCATGATTGGATCCCCAAAACTGTGAATGTTTCTGTGTGACATGCCCAAACCCCATTCTGGCTGATATTCATCAAATACACAAAAGCATTGTTTTTGTTTCTAAAACTGGCTGAATGGAACAAGTATCAGTAAGAGAAACAGTTAACAGTTTTATTCAGAAGTGCTAGGTTCCCTGTTGGAACCTGAAATCCATCCTATAAGTATTTATTGAGCCCTAATTATGTATCTGGCACTGTGGATGCACGACTATGAATAAAACAGATCTCTGTTCTGGAAGCAATTGCAGGTATCTATGTAAGAAGTTGGAGTTTCCCCATCAAGAACCCAGGAGAATTTACATTTCTTAAACTGGAAAACAATTTTCTCACTTCTTTATTGAAATGTTATGTGTCACTTGGCTAACTCAGAGGTGGCAACCACGCAGCCTTAGCTGCAACATCAAGTGTCTATGTTGTCAATATATTAGGAAGTGTAAAACACACACACACACACACACACACACACACACACACACACACACACACACTTATTAGGATAGTGCTGATTGTAATTTATTTAGGGCTTGATTAGTACTATTATACATTTCTTATCTCCCACTTAAATAAAGCCCGCAACAGGCAGGCTTTTAAATTTTCTCCTCAATATCATTTTATGCCTTAGGCTGGGAAGCATTAATAGAGGTATTAAGCAATAATAATAATACTTATTATTTTTATTTTCTAATTGTAATAAAACTAATAATATTTTAGTTTCTAAACTAGTTCTAATAGATGCCCATCATAGTACTAGAAATGGGAGATGTGTATCACTGAATTTATGATCTCAAGTAGCTCACGCAAGTAGTTATCTTATTGCTGTAGGGGGAAAAGGAGGATATATTCCTAAAGGAAGATTGTGTAGGAAGCTCTGAACTTTTTTTCTCAAGGCTAGTTTTAAACTGGACATTAGGGACATATACCATGATTTTCTGAAATATGAATGCTAACTGGGAAAAACAGCATAGATTCTCAAAACACAGCAGATTAGCACAGGGGAGATGTAAGAGGTCTTTGTGAAAATGTAAGTTATGAAGAACACATACAAGCACAATTAGGAAGAGTAGAGAATATTTTTCAGCTGTCTCTGTATGCATGTATAAAGATCTGTGGCTTCAAATTTGACTAGATTTTGTTTGTTTTTCAAAATCTTTCCTAAGCATTGCCCTGGTGGAAAATATCCCTGAAGGCCTTAACTATTCAGAAAATGCACCATTTCACTTATCGCTTTTCCAAGGCTGGATGAATTTACTCAACATGGCCAAAAAGTCTGTTGACATAGTGTCTTCCCACTGGGATCTCAACCACAGTCATCCGTCAGCATGTCAGGTAAGCAGCATCCTCTGTGCACGTGATGATTTTACTTATGTGCATTTTACATGCCTTAGTGTTCTTGCCTCCACGCCTCAAGTTCAAGCTCTTTTTTTTTTTTAGTCTATCTCGCCCACAGTACATCCTTACATTTATATGTTATGTGCTGTTGTTGTTAATCATGTCACTCAGCTCCTACTAGAATGCCTGGTTTTCAAGGGCAAAATCCTGTTTCGTCTTTGTATAGAGTAGGTTCTCTATACAGCGTTTGCTGTGTTGACACCTTTCGGGGGGGCACCACTTTCATCATGGTGTCTGTGGATGGCACACACCAGAACCCTGCTTTGCACCTGAATGTTACTTCTCTGATTCCATCAGTGCTTGCTGAGGCGTGTAGTTGGTTCGTTGGTGTCATAATTTGCCTTTAAGACCTAGAGCCAACTTTTTAAATAGTGAAGTCAATCTTTCCAGTATAGCTGTACATTCTTTTTAAAATTCTTTTTCTTTATTTTTCAATTACAGTTGACATGCAATATTGTATTAGTTTCAGGTATGCAACATAGTGATTAGACATTTATATAACTTACAAAGCAATCACCCTGATAAGTCTAGTATTCATTTGACACCATACATAATTATTGTAATATTATTGACTATATTCCCTATGCTGTACTTTACATCCCTCTGGCTATTTTTATAACTGGCAATTTGTACTTCTTAATCAGTTGTATAGTCTTATAGACCCTGTCATGTCTGGGCGAATAGGAAAAAGAAAGGTACTAATTATAATTACAAGAACAGCCTTTAGAAAACTGAGTAAATGATGTAAAGCCTTTCTGAATGAAATATCCTGGAGATAAGGCAATGATCCTGGTGATCTTTAGTGTGTTCTCCTGTGTATTGGTATGGCCATGATAGTACTGTTTATCCAGGCTACTCTGTCCAAGTAGACCTATGCTTAAATGTTCTACATGGGTCAAGGATGAAATCAGCTTTGTCTCTTTGTACATAAAATGTGCTGGCATTAAGCCTATATAGGCATACCTCATTTTATTGCACTTCGCTTTATTTTATTGCGCTCCACAGATGATTCATTTTTTTACAAATTAAAGGCAAGACCCTCCACCGGCAAAAAGATTACAACTTGCTTTATTGTGAGACTCACTTTATTGCAGTGGTCTGGAACCAAACCTGCAATATCTCCAAGGTATTCTTGTAATGATTACCTCATTGGTGCTTTGAAATCTATTGTTCAATTATACTATTTTCAAGTCAGAACATATCAGAAAATAGGCAAAAGCAAATGAAAAACTACAAAGGTCATACTAAAGAATTGAATAAATTTACTACAGGTGCTCCTTGACTTACGATGGGATTACATCGCAAAAAACCCATCATAAATTGAAAATATCATAAGTTGGAAATGCACTTAATACACCTAACCTACCAAACATCATAGCTCAGCCTAGCATACCTTAAACGGGCAAAGAACAATTCCGTTAGCCTATAGTTGGCAAAATCATCTAACGCAAAGTCTATTTTACAATAAAGTGTGGGATATCTCATGTAACTTATTGAATACTGTACTGAAAGTGAAAAACAGAGTGGTTGTGTGAGTATCTCTTTCACACCATCGTAAAGTCTACAAATCATGAGTCGAACCATCATAGGTCAGGGACCGCCTGTCATTGCGTTCTGCACTTTTCTATCTCTACTGTCTAAGCAGATGTTATGGGTATTTATTGCTGCATATGTTGTCCCCAAACTTAGTGATTTAAAAAATATCACTTATGTATTCATGATTCTGGGCTTAGCAGAGAGAACTCGGCTGTGATGCACATAGTGTTGACTGAGGTGGCTTGCCTGGGGCTGGAGGAACCCAGATGACTTTCCTCACAGATCCAGCATTTTTCTTAGGGTGGCTGGAACATGTGGGGGCTGGCTGCAGCTCCCTGTGTGTGTGTGTGTGTGTGTGTGTGTGTGTGTGTGTGTGGTCATTCAGTAAACCAGCCCGAACTCTCTACATGGTGGTTGTATCTTAAAAGGACAAAAGCAGAAACTGACAACTCTTAAGACCTAGGCTCTGGAATCCCAGTTGCTTCCACCCTATTCTATTGGTCAAAGCAAGTCGCAAATCCAAGATGGGAACGAGGAAATTGTTGAGAGGAATCTTTGGAAATGATATACTGCAGTCCACTGCGGCCATAGCAATCCAGATCTCTTCCACGTATAAAATGTACTCGTCTGTGCCCCCAAACTTTCATCCCATTACAGCAGAGGCTCAAGGTTTGGGATCTCTATCTGCATCAGGTCTTGATCTGATGAGGCTCCTCCTGTGGGCTTCTCTGGATTTGGAAACCTGTGATCTAACAAGACAAGCTACATCTCCCCAGACACTATGATGAAACAGGGATAGCTATAATAGATAGTTAAGTTCAAAGAGGGGGACGGAGGGCACATATCAGTCATGAGTCCATAGCAATTTTGAAACCCAGCCTGGCACATGTCACCAGTTTCTCCAAACTCTGGGAACAGGGAATGTTCCAGGATCTAGTTCTCCTCCCTGAGTGCCTTCCTAACCTGTTGTTCTCAGAAGCTCTTAGCTCCAGTCTCTGTGTTGTATTTTTCTTTTCCATAAGAGATAGCCTGTGTTTGCTTCAGACTTACTTTCCTAGTCAGCTTCCTGCCAGTAGAAATCTGAGGCCCCAGAGACCTCTTTTGATGTTAAACTATCTCTGTCCTTTTTCAGTTCAACACAGTACAGCCATTTAAAAACCTTGTAGACTTTCTATGTATCCAATTATAATCCACTCCATTAGCAAAAGGCCATGCCCACAAATATTTGCAAATGGGTCTTTCTCTACTTTGGACTCAAGGTGCTTCAAGACCTTGCCCTTAACATTGCTAGGAGCGCTTTTGGGTTTCCGGGATTCCTCTCAGTCTAGCTGAGAGGAACGAACAGGCACTCAGCACCTTGAATCTTTCAGAAGTCTCAACAAGGAGTCTTACAGCCACAACTTTGATTTTTTTTCTTTACCCTAAGGCTATTTCCTATTTTGAGACTATCTTTGCTGAGTTGAAAGACTGTCCTAGGTTCTCTACATTTTCTCAAAATTCTGCAAAAAACTAAAGAGTTCCTTCTTACCATATACCACTAAAACTTTGATAATCTCCTTAGCCAGATCCACAAATCTGGAATAAAAACATCATCATATTTTCTGTCTTCTACTTTAACTACCCTGGCGGTAATCCCAAGTGTGGCTCGGGATTAATTTTCACTGCCAGAATTATTTTTTATAATTATTTATTATATTATAATTTATGATTTTGTGTTTCAAACTTTATCATACCTGGGATGCCTACTAGACTCTTGTTTGGACAGATTTAAGTGAGTAATTCCTAAGAATTACAGGCCTACAATATAAAACAACAAATCTCCATGGAAAACAATGTACCACTTTGGGTACAAAATTACTGACATAATCAGACCGCCAGGGAGGTTAAAGCAGGCAGTAGTGATGCCTAACATCCTACCACTACTTCCTCAAGCTCCAGAAGCAACTTCTTTACTGTTCTTCTAGTCTGAGTAACAGAATGAGATTCCAGCCTCCACCACCACTCAATCTCATAGTGCCACACTCTTTAAGTTTTTGCAGCAGTAGTTTCTATTTCAATTATCTATTGTTGTATAACAAACAGCTCCGAAGTGTAGTTATTATTATTTCCTACGGTTCTGTGAGTTGGCGTCACAATTTTGCGCTCCAGCAGTGCTGGCTGGGTCCACTCATGTAGTTGTGTTCAGCTGGGAGAGCGGGTGCAGCTGGACTGCCCGAGAGCTGGCCAGACTCATTCTCCCCAAGTGGACACTCATCGTTCAATAATAACACAAGGTTTTTATAGAGCAGCTGGATCCCAAGAGGGTGAAAGCAAAAACTACAAGACCTCTTAATGCCTGGACTCCCAGAATAGTGCTTTGGCCACGTTCTGTTAGTCAAAGCAAGTCACAAGGCCAGCCCACACTCAGGGGAGGGACAGGGGACTCTAAGAGGAGCATGAAGGTACAGCAATGGGAGGAATTGTCAGCAGCAAACTTGGGAGACAATCTCATATAGCAGGGCGGATGGTGTGAGCAAGAGACAGTTGCAGTTGCCTTTCCTGAGTCCTAGAGAAGACCAGCACTCAGCCACTGGGCTAAACGGGAACCACAGCTTTCAGTGAACCTGGTGAGACATGCAGTGTGCTGGCGCCCAGGCTGGCAGCTCCCTATCGCCTCATGGGCACCAAGCAAGAGCCAAGCGTGTTAAACACACAATGGGTAGATTTGCATTTACACTGGGACTTGGTGGCCTGGGTGAACTCTATCCTGCTATGCTGTGCTTCTGGAATGATAGATTTTTCTCCTCAACTGCAAGGTGCTCTTTGCTAAGTGGCTTTCTTTTTCCCAGTAGCTACGATTTCTCTTGACCCTGCCCTCAATCCTGGTTGGCTTCCAGGATTCCTATAATCAGCCTAGATTCGGAGTTGATTGAGCTTGGAGGCTAGGGAACCTGCAGCCTTCTCCAGAGGGTGCCCATTAAGTCCATATGCAGGATTCAAGGGGCTTCTGGGAGCTGAAGCCATAGAGGGAAGCACCTAGGAGTTTGCTCAGCTCTAGGGATGGGTGGGTGGTGGTGGCTCAAACCAGTGGAACAAGGACACTCAGGTAGAGTCCCTAGGTGGGCAGTTTAGCCCTCTTCTTTAAGATGGACACAATTCTGAGGAGCAGCCAGAGGACTTCTGGCCTTTCCTTGCTTTTAACCTTTCATCCTTCAGGTGTGAGCTAAATTCTTACTACTCAAAAGTTTGGCCCTGGGATCAAGAACATCCTTATTACCTGGGCGCTTATAAGAAATGCAAAACCTCAGGCTCTGCCCTGGGCTTACTTGAATCAGAATCTCCTTTTCAACAAGATCTCCAGAAGATTCATATACTCAGAAACTTTGGAAACGTGCTGAACTAAACCTTTCTGACCCCTTGCT